TATGGCAGTTTTTATTGCTGTGATGTTTGCAGGTACCTGTATATAATGGTAGCGAGGGGGAGGGAGGGGCGATCGGCAAAAGGTGTAGCGGTGAGAAATCATGAGCAATTCAAGAGGCACCTCCCTCAGTGGCGCAGCTCATCACGTGCAGCCTGGCCGGTGGTGATGCTGCGGCGGGGGGCCCCAGTGTAATGGCCAATCACTCACAAGCAGGCGTCCCCCATATTCCCTTGAAAGCTGCTTTGTACAAGGACCTTTCATTGGAGCCCAGAAATGTTGTAAATTGGACAACATATTCACCAATTTTGTAAATAGTGTGCTGTCGGCTCCTGCTGGGGCTACATCAGCTCATTATGAGGTCATGTGACAAAGATCGAGTTACATCGACATGGCACATGTTACGGCACGCGTGATTTCCCTGTGCTCAGTTTGACCGTTCTCAGCAGGCAAGTGTAGAAAGATACACAGGCGAGAATCTGATAGTCCAATAGAACGGTGAGGGCGAGAGAAAGCAGACCTTGGGCACCGGCCTTTGCCGCAGATGTTCGCTTTAGAGGGGGCTTATCCACAACCGCGTAGAGTTTTAGCATCACCACCCAGTCGCATTACTGTCTTCCATGGCGTCGTTGGGCATTTGTGCCGATCCCAGCGATCCCCGGCTCCTGGGCCGGCGGATGGTTGGCGGATGCCAGCAGCTGCAACAACAGCTGCACCTCGAGGAGCCCAAGCAGCGCTGTGTGCCCTTTATGCGAGTTGTGCGCAGTAAGTGGTCAGGTGAAGGGGCACAGCAGTTTGTTCCTGCAGTCACTTGTGCTAATTGACCTTGCTCTCGGGATATAATGGGGTATAACGCGGTGCGTTGGGGGAATATTTGAATGTATGGGTATATTGAACCGCATAAAGACATATAGATCACGTAGAGAGCTTGCTCTTGCATGGCAGGAGTTGGCGGCAAAGGGGCGGAAGCAAAGAAAGCAGGCAAGGGCAAGAACCAGCTCAGCTCCTCGCAAAATACAGCCCCATTATACCATAATACACAAGATAGTCTCCAATCTTGTTGAAACCACTCTTGAGAAAGCAGGAACCCCCCATCCCAGAAGTTGGCAGGCAGCGGCGAGCCCGCCAAAAGTGGGCCTTGGCTGGGCAACGATCCGGTTTGATGGAGTCAAAGTCCGTTCAAGCAAGTCCTCGGATGGCACAGTGGTGCGCACCTTGAACGAGGGCCACAGGGTCCTTGTGGCCGAAGTCTGCACCAAATCCGTTCGAATCGAGATCCCCAACTGCGGCTGGATCAAGCTTCAGAAGCACAGTGAGCCGGTGCTGCACCAGGAGGCGTATGAAGTACGCCAGCCAGGTGAGGCATCTGCCACTACACAACTCGTCACCAGCGTCCTAGAGCGACTGGGAGCTGGAAGGGAGAAACCAGCGGAGGAGCGCCTGAAACATATCTTTGCTGTGCAAGTTCTCATTTCCTGCTGCATCATGCACACATGGCGCTTGCTCAGTTTCTTTTCCTTGCATGTCTCATTCCGCGCATTGCATCTTGAAGTTCCTATAGCCATTGGCAGTCCGCATTTTATAACGTCTGCTGACTTGGTGCCCATTTAGCTCCACAAGGCTTATTTCCCAATTCGTGCCTGAAGCCAATCAGATTGCACTGCAGCAGCTGAAGATTTATCATGCCTGTGCGCAGGAGACGCAGCAGCAAGATCACGAGAACCTGCAGGGAGACACCGAGCAGGGGCAACAAGCGC